AGTACAAGCCAGGTAAGCAAAACGCTTTGGCTGATGCGCTATCGCGTCGACCTGACTATGAGCTTGCTCATGTTACGACCCTGTCGTCGCCAGTCCCTGACTTAATTCGTGCGGCATATGCCAAGGATGAACAGTGTGTAGCTTTGCTACGGGCTCTTGGGAGCGATGAGTTTAAAGACTCGGACATAGAATTGTCGGCACGTTTACGTGCGAGGCTACATCGATATTCCATCGATAATGGCCTGTTGTGCTATCGCACGGATATTGAGGACAACCCTCGTATCGTAGTACCTCATGATGAGGAATTAAAGTATCGGATCCTCTATGAGGCACATGATACTGCTTTAAGTGGTCATCTCGGTCGTGAGAAGACTTATAGCTCGGTGAGCCAAAGTTATTGGTGGCCCAAACTTTATAAGTGGGTGCGCACCTATGTGCGTACGTGCGAAACGTGTCAACGGGTAAAACCCTCGGCACATGCGGCGGCGCCGCTGGCTAGTTTGCCGGTACCCAGTGGTTGTTGGGAGTCCATGAGCTTGGATTTTGTGTTTGGCCTACCGAAAGATTCGGAAGGCAACACTGGTATTGTGGTCTTTGTTGACCGATTGAGCAAGATGGCTCACTTAGCGGCTGTGCCGGATAGCATTGATGCTGAAGGTACAGCAAAGCTGTTTATCGACCGTGTCTTTCGCCAACATGGCTTGCCTGTGGCAATTATCTCTGATAGAGACCCCCGCTTCACTGGGAAGTTTTGGAAGTCTATCTTCAAGGTGCTTGGCACTCGGTTGGACATGTCCACAGCGGATCATCCGCAGACCGACGGTCAAACTGAGCGTGTTAACCGCGTCATCAACGACATTTTGCGCAGTATTTGCGCTCAAACGCCACGGCATTGGAGATCAATGCTCCCTGTTGTTGAGTTTGCGTTGAATAACGCTGTTCATGCCTCAACAGGCTTTACTCCGTTCTAAATAAACGGTCTCACTCACCCTCGCGTTCCGTTAACGCTATCACTACGTGAATCAGGGCTTGGTGGGGGAGAGGTTGCCGATCGGCTTGCTGATATCAGCCCTGCTACTGTTCAAAAACAGGTAAGCGAGTTTCTCGCAACGCGATTAAATGTCTTAAGACATGTGCGTGACGCAATGGCTGATAGCCAAGATACCCAAAAACAACAAGCTGATTCCAAAGGCAGAAATTGTATTGAACGTTATGAGGTCGGAGACCAAGTACTACTCAATGCTAAAAATCTACCTACAAATGTAGTGTCTGCTGTCTTTAAGACAAAGTTGCGTCCACGCTTTATTGGACCGTTTACGGTCACGGCCAAGCAGGGACTTGCGTATACGCTAAACCTCCCGCGCAAATTGCGCACACATCCAGTGTTCTACGTAGGCTTACTTAAGCCGTACCGGGATCCTTCCCATGTGAACTTGGAGGCGCTTGCGCCGACGACAAGGGCACTGCCCCGGATTGCTGTAGACGAATCAGCAAGTCCAACTGAGCCTCGCTCCGAGTTTGAGCTTGCTCCATCGCCTGAAGGCGGCTTTGCATCGCATCCAGCATGCACTGGGACTTACCCAAGGCCTCTTGAAGACCCTTCACTTCGAGAACCAATTTCTCGTGGGCCTCCACCGGTACACCGGCCGCCACCGACTTTGCTCGATGAGCATGGGTGTCGTCAATTCCATGTCGAGAGACTACTGAAACGACGTCGTCGTCAGGGCCAATACCAGTATCTGGTAAAGTGGCGTGGGTACCCTGAGTCTGAAAACTCATGGGAATTTGAGGTACCCCTTCGGCAAGACTGCCCATATGCTTTGGAGGCTTTTGAGCATCGTGGCCATGGTCATCTCGAGGCCGAGGCCGTTCACCACCACTAGTGGTGCGGGTTGGCGGGTTGTTGGTCACAGACTGACCAGCACTCGCGGCTACCTTAGTAGCCGAAGCATAGCGCGTGCGCTTGCGCAATTGGCCTCTGGCCTTAAGCTTGGCATAATCATATCGAAGCTTGCGTTCGAGACGCACATCCGCCGCATGGGCACTAGCCCTTAGAGCAAAAATGTTGCTGAGGCGACGCACATAGTGCACCCAGTGAACAAAGGCATCGTCTTCTTCACTCGCTGTTTCTCCTGCGAGCAGGAGAATGGGTATACCCTTCATCGGTGGAACTGGTGCACCACGTGCTTGCATGTCAAGGCGTGCCTTGTATTGACTTTGAGTCGTTAGGTGCGGCTCCAGGTACCTCTCACGAAGTGCCTGGCAGCTCACCACCTCCTCAGGAGTCTTAGGCCCATGGCCAATGACCCACGTTGCCAATGTTTGGCCGGCCGCTTGACGCAGACGTTCCTCCACACTGGGTGGGGTGAACACATAGTCACGCTGGCGTTCAAGGGTTGAAACCATTTGGACATGACGCTGAGCGTTTTCTTCTTGTTGGACAAGCAATTGTTGTTGCTCATCGAGCGGGTTCGTGATAGTAGTTTCATAAGAACCAGATGCTGCATGCTGCGCTGGCGGCGCGCTCGCACCTCCACGTTTAGCGAACGGATTTGGGGTGTTCGAAAGTTGTGCCTCAGGCATCAGTGAGCCGGACGTTGTCCCTGTATCATCGCGGACACTGGTATCGCTACCATAGTCCACCTCCTCCTCTATTCCGAGGTAGTCACACAGAGCCTTTGAATCGTTTGGTGATGAGGACATCGTGCTGGAGCGTACGTTACCGTGAGGTTCACCGTACGCGCACTGTTCTCGCTGAGAACACGAGTTCGATTGACGTTTTGGCAAGCGTCAGTCTGGTGGGGGAGGGTGTAACGGGGTTGCACGAAATCATGGTACTTTGTACCAGAGGTGTTACACACCTGAGGGTTCGCTTCTGTGAAGGTGATATAGAATATCTTATCGGTTTGTAGGGGCTGACGAGTGTCAGCCATTAGATACGAAAGATCTTTGAGTAGGATTAAGATATTCTATAGGCTTTAACAAAAATAAAATCAGTTCCCATTTTGATCTGAAAGACACGTGGCTTGCGAGCCGTCTTGATCGTTGATCTCTGATCACTAAAAGTTAGCGACACCTCCTTGAGGTAGCTACTCTTGAGCACTAAGTGCTGTCGATTCACTGAATCGTTAGGTCCCCTGGAACAGGGATCTGAAGCTATAAAGCTTGTTGACTCGTAAAGTCGTTAGTTCTTTAGAACTAAGTTGCTCGTAGAGCGTTAAGTCTTCCTCTGACTTAAGGAGCTGTGTAGCTCCGCTACACATGCGGAGGAAGCTAAAATATTGAACACTTTTCTAAAAAGGTAGAAAGTAAACCTGTATCGCATATAATGTAGTCCTGATCATTACTAGCCTTTGTTTAGTCCTTACTTTATTATTGCGAGAACGAAGGGTCAAACTGTTTGCGAGTGTGCGCAAGGCGAATGTCGAGCCTTTTTATCTGTCTTTCTGCTGTGTGTTGGTAAATAATGCGACTCGATCTATCTTAATACGCACTAAGTGTAATCTAGCCTGTTTTTTTCCTCATAGGTATTTAACCATATTCGAAATCACACTTCAGCTCGGTCGCTCTCGTGTTGCACGCACGTGATTAATTTACAATCGATTAAAGGTGAATATGACCACATGAGCAAATGCTGAAAGCTTGTAAGCATAGACTGATCGTGTTGCTTGACTAATCTGTACTGTGTCGATGCATAAATTTGCAGCATCGTACTCATTCTTCAGCGTCTGCTTTTGTTTTGTTATTTGCGACTTGATCTAGTTGTCCGAACTCTATTACTAGTATCAAAGGGCGAGCTCCCGAGCTTGCTCCACTTTCTCAAAGTAAAATTCTAGTTTTTATAGCATTCTACATATAGTACTAGTCATGAGCAAGTACGGCACGTTGATAATTTTCAAAAGGTCGACAGAGTGTTCGCATCAAAGGGTGGGTGTGTACCAAAAGCTTTCCTTTTTCTCCAATCATTGGAGCTTTTTCACGGTAAATTGGGCATTTTTATGCTCCTTGCGATTTTTTCTCTACATTACCTATCAGCTGTATGACAGTATGTCTGTTCGCTATGTCGTCCACAGCATGTACAGCAGGTCCAGTCCCATTTTGGCTGTTGTCCGATGCCGGTCAAAATAGTTAATCCTACTCTATTTTGTGCAGAGCCTAGACCCTGCAACTAATTTATGGCTCGATCAAATTTGAATTAAGCACCATGCGAAGTAATTTATGAGAACGCAAAAAGCATTCATAACGCACTGGAATGAATGAAATGACCATCGACTCTGCATGACGATACTTAGTGTACATTGCAATGAGACAAAAAGACAGCACGAGGCTGAATAATTGTAGAAACACACACATTGGCGCATCTTACAAGGACCACGCCAATGGTTGCTTTGTTTTAGAGTACGTGGGTGCCAAACGAATCGAAGCTTGTGCTTTTGCACCACCCAAATAAGGAAGGCTGAACCGCGACTACGAATTTTTGCATGTCAGGAATGTTCCAAAACATTTTGGTCCGTTCGAGTATCCAGCTATCAACGTCAAAGTCTAGATGCTGACCAACCTGTTTCCAGTCATGTCGGCTACTGTCCAGGCTCGGACTCGTTACAAGCCCAGCTACGCGAGCAATATAGTGTACCAAATCAGCAATCAGTAAGTGCCTCAACGATCTTCATCGGTTCACCACTACAAACCCACATCTGCCGCTCCATCGCAGCAGCACGTATCAACTCATCGCAAACGACCTTGCCATATTTCGAGCGTTTCGCTCACCATCCACCGAGAGGTCGGTCCTCCCACAATATCCACGCACCACGTTGAACGACACCATCTGCCTACTCCAGTAAATTCCACAAATACTAAAGCTAAAGACCAATCACAAAACCCACAAAAAACGAAAAAAAAGATAAACAAATAAATATCAAAACAGTAAATAGATGAAAAAACAATAAATAAATAAGTAAATATCAAATCAGTATATTTACAAAAATCAGCCCGCAGCCTCCATGCTCACGCGGTTCTCCAGCGCTGTCCAGACGGCCGTGTCCGGCGCAGCGTCCGCCGCCGTGTCCGGCGCCCAGAACCTCCAAGGCCTCCTCAGTGAAGAGTACCTCAAGCACTACGAGACGCCGCGGGACTGCACGGCGTCCGGCGGCCACGAGCTCCTGTGGAAGATCTTCCCCGCCGTCCACCGCAAGACCAACCACGAGTACAGTGTCTTTCTATTCGACAAGGAAGAGCTGAAGCGGTTCAAGACTAAAGTGGCTCAAGACCGAGTGCTGGAGATCCTGCGGCAGGAGATGAAGACGCTCCGGGTGCTGCGCCACCCGCACGTGCTCAAGGTCGAGGAGGTCTTTGAAGAGAGTCGACGCTCGCTCTGCTTTGTGACGGAGCGCGTCACGTGCTCGTTGGCTAATGCCTGCAAGAACTTTACTAACATCTTGAACGTGACGCCAGAGGTGCTGGAGATTGGCTTGACGGAGTTTGAGCTCGCCTGTGGCCTCATGCACGTGGGCGAAGCGCTGAGCTTTTTGCACCGGGAAGGACGTCGCGTGCATTTAAGTTTGGGACCGCAGAGTGTCTTTATTACACCCAAAGGAGAGTGGAAGCTTGGGGGGATGGGCTTTTGTCGGGTTGTCGAGCCTGGGCACACGTCAAGAAGTGAATATTACGGCGGTGATGCGTCGACGGGAGTGAGGAATTCCGTGACGGGGGTTCTGGAAGGAAGCTGGGAACCCTTGCTTGAGTACTGTGCGCCGGAATTGGTCACGGAACCAAGACAGTTTGATAGCAAAGCCGACATGTTTGCACTCGGTTTGCTGGTCTATGAACTTTTTGTACCGCCACGTGCAGATGGAGGACGCAATCCTGTGCTGGATGTGCACGATGGAAACAAGATGACACACGGATACAAGGTGCAGTCGCTTCATCCGATTGCATTTCCACCCTCGGTCCCGATGGCGTTGCAGAACACAATCCGTTCGCTGCTATCGTTGGACCCTACGAAACGTCCGGAAGCTCGTGCATTTCTAGCATCACCATTCTTCGACTCGGGTCCGATCAAGACGCTTCGGACGTTGCAAAGCTTGGTCGAGCTAGAGCCAGCGGCTCAGGCAAAATTTCTGACAGCGCTACCTGAAGCGATCGATGGCTTTTCGCCGCGTGTGCTCCGTGACATGGTGATCCCAGGCCTTCACTCAGTGGTGATCAATAAGGCTGTGTCTCCATTTGTGATCACGCCGCTACTCAAGATCGTAGCCAAGGTCGACAAGCAAACTTTCGCGCACTCGATTGCACCAATGATGGTCCCGCTGCTGGCCATCACGGAGCCTGTCCAGTGCATGCTGATGTTTGTGTCAGAACTAGAGACGCTCATCCCAAAGGCAGAGGACGGCTACATTCGTGACCACATTGTTCCTATGCTGTGCCGTGCGCTTGATAGCACAGTGCCCGAAATTCTTGATACGGTGCTCAACAAAATCGTGGATCAGGCGAGTTTGTTCGAGTACCGCATTCTGAAGCAAGTGATTCTGCCGCGGGTGAATAAGGTCATTCTTTCTCCACCGCAGCCGTCTGTGCGGATCAATGCATTGCTCTGGCTGGCAAAGTCATTTCACGTGTTCGATAAGGATCTGCTCATTGAAAGCGTCCTGCCTACCCTTCAGCTCACTCTTCAAGCAGACAAGACACCAGCTGCATGCATGTGCATTCTCGGGTGCTATGACAACCTCGGAAAACACCTTGGTCCGGAGTTTGCTGCAACTCTAATAATTCCTGCAGTAGCGCCACTGTTATGGGAACAGAGTTTGAATAATGCGCAGTTTGACATGGTGTGCGAGAAGATCCAAGATATGCTCAAGGCCGTGATCAGCGAACGTGACAAGTCGTTCACATCTCAAAGCTCTGTCCACAGCGTGGCAACAGGTATCACTGCAGCTTCGGGTATGTCAGGTGCTATTCGTGCTGCAGAGGCGTCGAAGGAGCGGGTGTCAGGTGTTGCAGCAGCGAACAAGTTGCTGTCCGAAGAGTATGTTGCAAAGAAGGCGCAGCCAGAGGCCAGTAATCAGAAGCCCGAGCGATACTCGGACGATCCGTTTTATTTGGGCAAGTCGAGCCCATCTTCTAGCAGCAGCAGGACTATGAGTACTGGAGCAGAGCGACGTGCCTCGGGTGGCCGCCGTGAGTCACTAGCCGAGCATGCAGAACCGTCCACAACACGCCGCCGAGCAAGCAAGAAGGGAAACACACGGTCGAATCGCCGTGCAATAAAGAAGGACGATGGAAACGCCGATTTACTTTCCATCGACTCGACTTCTGTCAAGGTGCGTATTGTGCAGGCTCCTCCGGATGCGTGGATGTGTGTGGTGTGCGTGTGTCTCACTTTGATTTTCGTCTTGTGCACAGTCGTCAAGCACGCCCAACGACCTTCTTGACACAGGAAGTCTGCTGACCGCCCTGCCTCCTGCACCCGTTCCTGCACAGGGTTCTATAGGTGTTGGTGGCGGTATGTTTAACGGCATGAGCGTGTCTTCAAGCAGTGGTGTAGAGTCAGTGGTGCCAGCATACGCGAGCCAGACTACTTTTGGCATGCAGCCTCACGTAATGAGTTTGCAGCAAGGCATGGTACCCTACGGCCAAAGTATAAGTACTGGAGCGATGGCACAATCACCGTACCAGAGCAATCCAGGCATGTCGCAAATGACCCCATACGGCATGCAACAACAAGACCCCCATAGCAGCGGCGGCTCCGATCAAACCAACATGGGGCTTGCCGGACCCGGACAGATGCTGCAGATCCAAGCCGCCCCTAGTTACAGTCAATACGTACAACCGCCACAGCAAAGCGGGGACAAGTTTAGCGCCTTCGACGGGTTGTAAGACAGCAGCGTGCTTCCTTTGATGCTGATAACAGCAGGAAAAAGAGGGACCTGATGATGCTTCAAGAACGTCGAATTTGCTGTTTCCATATTCAGCATCAATTGTAGATTGACGCACATGGCTAACGACGGCATTGATGAGTTTATTCGTACACTTGCAGGATATCTTCAACCGTTTATATTTTTCAGTAGACGCAAGCGATGCAGTGGCTACTGGTTGCAAATTCAAAAGCGTCGCGCACACCTCGTCTCGAAGAGTATGTTAGCCGTGCTCGATAGTTTTCGTACCTTCACACGTTGCAGAGCAGCAGCACCACGGGCCGTCTTGTGGGGCAGCATGCCACGGATCATACGCCAGAGCATACGAGACGGTGCCCGGTAGTGGACCGGACCCTTCTTCGGGTTCGTGGCCGTTCGCTCGTTCAAGAACTGCAAGAACTTGACTTTGTTGCGCACGTCTGTTCTATACGCGGAAGCAAGAGCAGATCACATGAGGAATCCGTTCTCGACTCCACCCACACTCACAAACAGACGGCATGGCCACCACTGCATTTCTTTTCACGAGCGTCCGAAGACGTCGTGAAGCTCAACAGGGTGTCTGCAGTCAGCGGCTTTTGCATGTTTAAGGAGGTTGCACCAACGGCATTTCGTCCGTGTTGACTCTCCCTCGCACTTCTTCAGCTTTGACCTTCTCATTCACTTGCTGAACAAGGTACTCAACTCAATGCTGAGGTCTTTTTCTCCTCATTCCACAGCGTTACAGCAGTAACACAAGTGAACGTCCAGACGTAGAAGTCAATGAGAAAGCAAAGCTGATCGAGTGGCGAGCTCATGGAGTCCACATCGATGGTTGACCAGTACTGAGAAGGTAATCTACTATACTCAATTGACAGCACTCCTTGTCACACACAAATCGTCTCTACGGAAGCGACAGACGCTGCTTCCAGCGGCACGCAGTGATAGAGGATACTTGTCGATGTAGTGCGTACAGTCCTAGTTCTACTGAGGTGTAGTGTAGACCGATATAGGAGATAGATAGATCAATCAACATTTCACATAAAGACGAACGCGAGCCAACCGACTAAGTGGCCCCGGCAGTAGGCGACGACGAGTTTCTCAAACGCCATATTGACTACAAGTGAGAGCGAGCGAGTAAGAAGCACAAAGAGGAAGTGATCCGCCCATTTTTTACTGAAGAGCTCCGATCTTGAAGAGCTCCGTAGCACCCGGCGATTCTGGCCAATCGCGGACGCGAAGCGAGTTACAACAAATTAAAACGGACAAAAGTGATGGTTTGCTACGATGGACGCGTCGGGAAGTCCAGTGCCCACGCTGATAAATCCCCCCCGTTAACTAACATTACCTCCGCTATGTTCTAAGATTGGGCGTCCACTGAGGTCGTTCCACCGAGGTCGTTCTATGGTCGCTGACTAATAACTTGCAACTCATTGTCATACAGCGAGATGTAATCTTCTAGATGGAGAATTTGTACCAAATGTGGCAGGGTAAACATATTGAAGCCAAGCATCAAGGGTGGTTTGTGTGGCGTTGGCACTGCGATCCTGTAGGCTACAAAGAAGATTGAACGCATAACGGTGGGTTTCCTTAAACAGATAATGTAAAGTGCAGGCACTACCAAGATGGGAATTTGCTCGCACTTGGTCAATCTGTCTACAATTGACTCTTTCTAGCACCTTCCTTTTATTCCTTCTCCTCCTACACTGCTTTCAATATCTTTTAGTGATTGAGCTCTGTCTGTGCTCTCTCGTCCTCCATAATAGAGTTGATTAGCTCATCAGTGGACAGTCAGCCAAAACTTACACCAATTTCCTAAGGAAGAACAACAACCTCAGTCCACGACTAGGATGGCTAAGTGTCTTGGACCATGAAGCACAACCTGACCCAATTTTACAAACAAATGTGAGGACCTGAACTAGTGGTCTCTGGAGCTATCATTTTGCTGACTTTGGGTAGATTTTAATTTGGGATGAAAAGGAGTGATCGGTTCCGGGTAAAATTTATAGTTTTCTATCCTTTATGTATTTACTGCACTACAGTGACTCCAATAAATATTTATTTCTATAACTTTTGTTTTTGTTTTGTAAATTTCTGTAATTTACTGTGTAGAATTTCCTTACTTACGGCGCCACCGGAACCCGATAACTAATAGCCTCTGCTAAATCATAGAGAATGTATCCCCCGAGGCTAAAGTTAGAAATGGGAGGTCTGTATACACCGTACGGTATACACTCTGATTAATTCTCTTGTCATATGTATTGAGAGAACGTTCTAAACATGGAGTTATGACTGATACCAAAGAGCTCCCGCGCCACCCGCTACGGCTCGTCCCCCTTCGTATCCCATTGCTTGACCCATTGCTTGAGCCGTTACTTATAATTCCTACTAACTCTGAACTGCTCGAATGATACGTACCGTTAATATGACTGAACTGTCATATGGGGGATCGTCATGTATGCTTTCGTGGTAGTGGAACAGCAGTACGATGGACGATGCAAAGGTCTTGACTGACCCCGAAAGCGTGGCGATGGCAACAGCATTTATGAAAAAGTCACGGGAACAGTGGGAGGCGGGGAAATCGCTTCGGTATGCGCCAGAATTGAAAGATCTCGAGCAAGTGGCACGGGAGATCTAGGAGAAGGCCAGCTTGTCAGGTGGCTCGGACAGCTTCAGCAGTTTGATTGGCTCCGACTCAGAGTCGCAGACGGCATTTCGGATACTTTCACAGCAGTCGTGGCGCAAACAGCGCCAGTCGTTGATGGATGAAGCTGCGAAAATAGGCGGACCAGAAGGGTTCATGCAAGCAGAGATTGACGGTGTGGAATCGAGTCTGGCAGAAAAGTTGCTGCAGAGAGGCTACGGATTGGACTCTAGTCCGACTAAAGAGAGCGTAGGGAACTGGAGTGTACCTGGTGGCAGCTCGAATGACGATAAAAGTGACGGAATTGTGCTGCCTCAAACGTCTCATGATACGTTCAGGAATCGGTTGGTGGAGTTTTACACCAAGTTCAACCCCGTCAAGTTGACTAGTATCAATCAGACGTTGGAAACGTACGTGATAGTGAAGACGAGCTGTTCGGAAACAGGCGAGTCGGTATGTGGATGGCGCTGGTGCTTGTGATATATTACGATTTTGAGTGTGTGGTATAAAATATTGACGACGTCGTGCGTGCATTGGGGTACTAAACGTCTCCAATTCTGCGGTTGATCCGATGTCACGACAATTGGGGCTATTCTCACTGGTGTTGAATTACCGTGTGAAAGTAAGAGATCGCAATCATTTACTGTACGCTGAAATCAGATGAGCAAGCAGTGGATATCAACGACTGTCAAGAAAGGAGCCGGTGACTGGTTGGGGAGCTGGAATGTAATGACAACATCAAGCTCTGTTCAGGTACCAACATAATGGCTACTCAGGGCATAAGATATGTAGCAAGGATACAGTATCATAGCTGTGTTCGTCTCAGACGTTTATAAGAAGAGCTTTGGTCGACGCTGGTACGGTAAGGGAAGGCTGTCCGCCTTGAAAGGCCGGAGCTGACTTGTTGGCGCTTTGCAAATAATTGACGATTCAGTTTCGTGTTGACACGGAGAACCAGCATACTGTACAGACAGTGGAGACGATAAAAGCATTAACAACGTGTGCTGCCACAACAAAGTCCTTTTTGAGCGTTGGCCAACTTGCGTCTAGCAGCCATAGTTTCTGAATCACAAATTGGTCCAATCATCAGATGCTTAGCTAAGGCCATGAACGTTATAGTGAGGCTTACCTCACATGTGTAGCGTCGTATTAGATTAAATTCTTAACGCTAGACGACGATTTATATATCGCGACTGCATTCTTTTGGATGATTAGACAATGCTGTTAGTTAATTCGTCCAGTAGAACGTGCTTTGTGGTACCGTTTTAGCTTGCAACCTATTGAACAATTAGTATCAGCCAATACATGCGCTGCGCATACAGACCATGTCTTTGTTAGTGTTATTTTACAGTTAAGACGAAGTCACTTCTTTCCAGGTTCTTGATGAATTGATCTAGTTCAGCCGCGTCGCTCTTGAGGTGCTTTTTGATGTTGTTCTTGGCGTCGATCTTGGTAAACAACTTTTCCGCCGCCCGTCGCATCTTCTCACCCTTTGTAGAGGCATATTGTAAGGTGAAGGCTTTGAAAGCGAGGAATTCGGCACTAGTGATAGATTTGTAATGAGCCGGTACAGATTTGTAGGTCTCGAAGTTATACGCGAATTTATAGGGACGCATTCTGTCCTTTTCAATCAAATGCTTGAAATGGAGTTGTTGCATCTCCCCCGCGAGCTGCTCCAGATCCTTATGATCCTTCATGACTTGTTGAAAGTAGTATCCATTATACACCGCCTTGTCGTGCAAATACCTTTCCTTCAAAAGTCTCAGTATTGTTTCCACGGAGATAGGTTCGGCACCCTCCAACTTCCTGTACAAGTCGGTGTATCGAAGCCACAATTCTCGTCCACCATCCCATTGCCATACAGTCTTGTATACGTCGTCGGGATGCATCTTGTCTTTCAGCCACCCCTTTGCGATTAACGCAGACATCGATCCTTTGGTCTTCTCGAAAAGCATCTTTTGAAAGCGTTCAGCGCGATACAGGCCTCCCTGTTTCTGGGTTCCAAGCCAGAAGAACAACTTGACCAAGTCCTCGTGCTTTTTCACTTGCATGAGTTGTTCCAAAGCCTTCGCGTCATCCTTTTGGAATCCTCTTCCGTGGAGGAGTTTATAGTTGCGGGCCCAAATCTTAAAATCTTCAGGTCCCGCGCTCTTCATCAAGCCGGGCAATTTATCGGCAGGAAGGTGTTGTTTGAAAGGCCCCGAAATCCAATCTACTGCGTGCTTCAGCAGTAAGGAAATATCAATGCCCCTCTCTTCCTCGTCGTCATCGTCGTGCAAGGGCTTGGTTCTAACCGCATCAGGCACCGACACGTCTCCTGATGAAGTCAAGTTCAGACGATCGACGCTGCTCAGGTCAAAAGCAGCGACTTCGAGTACAATGTCATTCGCAACCACGAAGGCGAAGAACACGAGGCAGCGCGTAAGCATATTGGAGGCGGTTGCTGTTTGCTGGATGTTTAACGCAATGAACAACGTCTTCGTAGCCGCTTCTTTCGACATGCGCATATTGATAGTACTTACTGTCGCCAGCAAGCAACAGCACACCCAAGCGGGTTTACCACCACTGCAACGAGACAACGAGGAAAAGTGCAACCCTATACTTACTAGCTTCTGTACGCCAAGCGTGAGCCGAAATAACACATGGGGATGCACGCGCTTCCCGAAATCTCAACGTTATTGCTAGATTAAGGCACATTCGGACGCATTCCCGAACCTGCTGAGTCAAAGAGGGTGGGACTCTGTCTCGGCCATGTCGCTTGGTTGCGCGGCCGGCACGAGAGATGGTACGGCCGGAAGCGTCGCCGCGCCACCTGTTATCGCTGCAGCGGCTGTATCCACCAAGTCTGACGGACACCACAAGTGGCAACTGTGGGGACATTTGTTCCTGTTGGTGGTAGAGTCTCCATGCTACGATTTAGTCCTCCGGGAACATACAGACGGTTGACCGCACTGACGGCAGTCATCTCGTTTAAGGTAAAGACGGAGATGCACGATCGTACGTTTGACCATTTCGCATGTGTATGAGCATCGCTGCATCCTGTGGATCGCGTATAATCACAGGGTCTTTCGACATCGATGTTGTGTCAGGTGACGTAGGTACTCAACATGCACCTTCGAACACTTTTTGAGCTGTTGATAGGTCAGTCTGAACCTCTTTCTCTCTCTCTCTCTCTCTCTCTCTCTCTCTCTCTCTCTCTCTCTCTCTCTCTCTCTCTCTCTCTCTCTCTCTCTCTCTCTCTCTCTTTCGGCAGCAGCAGCCTGCACGACCCTGCGATCTGTAGGAAAGCAAGGGATTTGTTACCTTGGTGGATTAAAGATTCGGCGCGATGTGTCGATTAGCGTCATTCGTTTAGATAGGAAGGCAGAGCGGCTGCGTAGCAAAATGGGTGGTGTGGATGGCTTTGGAAAAGTGTCAGGTAGAAGAGAAGACATAAAATGTGAATACAGAATCTAATCGTCTTTCTACTGCGCATACTACTTTCCACAGGTTATGAGCCTAATGGCTAGAGAAACTGAAGCGACCTCCAAGACACCAGGAGGTGTCGCGCGAGCTGCGCCAGGGCGTGTCTCGCCAGCGCGTGTGCCCTCATCGGGGGACACGCCGGGAGTCGTCGAAGTACCGCCCGCTCGCGAAAGGAGCGAGGCAACCGACGACAAGATCCTCGCGGCCCTCGCCGCAGTGACCGACCGCCTGTCGAAGCTCGAGTCTTCGCAGCGCGTCCGGGACGAAGATGAGAGGATGCTTGGAGCTGTCGAGAGCGGCATGTTTGCATCCAAGCTTGGAGCGAACATGCGTGGACGCCCCATGACCATCGACGCGCTTAAGTCGCTGGAGGAGAAACCAGCAGCACATCGCGCGCGGGAGCGCTGGCCAGAAAACGGTGAGTCGATGTTCGCCTCTCTCTCGCACCGCCGCGTGGACAGCCGTCAGCCCAGCATCGCATGCCGGAACGATCGGCCGAGCCCATGGTCGCGCCGCGTCAAGAAGCTATGCCACCAGCGATCGGACACTACGGAATGCCGAGCGCTAGTCAGAGAAAGCTCAACATTCGCAAGTTCGATGGGACGGAGCTTTACAAAGGGCTTGGGAGCGGGTTCTTTGACTGGGGACGCACCTTCATGCGCGCTGTGAGCCTCGCTGAGGCGTCTTGCGGTTTCTCCTGGACGGAGGACGTGAAGGTGGACCTTCTCGGGCATTTCTTGGCTGGTACGGCGGAGCGCTACTACCACAAACAGGTCGACACTTGGTGGGTGCAGCAGCCAAGACTCGAGCACGTCATGGAGCAGCTGCACCTACCGTTCAAGACGACCATCACGGCGAGTCAGGCCATGAAGCTATTCATGACAAGGAAAGAAGCGAGACGCACCTGGGCTGAGCACTTTCTTTACATGGTGGCTGTCAGCGACGCGCGCGGTGGCGCCGACTCGCTTGTGCTCGACAACATCGTCCATCATGCGTCGCCAGACCTGATGAATGTCATGCGCGCTAAGTACGATCCAACGCGGTCCGACTACCTGCGCCACGCTGAGGAGTTGGCGCACTTTGCGCAGTCTATCGAGCTCGGCAGTGGCGCGGTTGGTCGCGAGGTCGTTGCGGCGCATGTTGAGACGAAGCGTCAAGACACGCGAACGTGTTTCCGATGCGGGGAGGACGGGGCACGTCGTTTCCGAATGCAAGGCAAGAGTTGTGTTTGATGATGAAACGACAAACACGAGTGTCAGCGGCGATATGGTACTTGCGCTCATGGAGAAAGGGTCAGCGGCTCGCACGAAAGAAGCCAAAAGCAAGAAGAAAAAGAAATCGCGAGGCAAAGCGGTTCGTGCGAATAAAGTGCGAGCTGCGAACAACGCGGGCGGATTCGTGCTAGCTGCAAATGATGCGATTGGCATCGATCGAGGCGACTGGATACTTGACAGTGGCGCGAGCAGGCACCTCGTGAACGATGAGTCGCTGCTGATCGACTCGACCGCCTGCGTCTACGAGATCGCCATGGCAGATGGGGAGTCACTGCGGCTGACGCGTGTCGGGAGGGTGCGCCTTGAGGTCCTCGCGCGCGGTGTGAAGGTGATTGTGACTCTGACAGAAGTCTATCTTGCTCCACGTCTGGCGAAGAACATCGTCTCGTACGGGAAGCTGGAGAGCAAAGGGTTTGCCCTCGTGTACGATGGCAACAAACGAGCGCTAGCGCGGCGCAGCGACGGTACAGTCGTGTTCGACGTAGCGATTGACAGTAACGTGTTATACGTTAAGACGACAGCGACACGCGAGAGGCACAGAGCTGGAGATGCGATCGTGGCTGCGCTCGAAGCGCGCGCGATGGATGGTGATGCGGATGACATGCACGAAGCCTCGCTGCTGCACTGGCACCAGAGAATTGGCCACCTCGCGTTCGATACGATCGAGCGTATGGCGCGAGATCCGTCATCGGGTATTCGATTGACCAGCAACAAGCGCATGGCATGCGTAAAATGCCTCAAGGGCAAACAGACGCGCAACACGCAGTCACAACAAGACAGCGGCACCAACTCGCCAATCGACAGGATCGGCGGCGTCATCTGCTCGGACCTTAAGGGTCCCATGACACCGCAGGATCGCCTCGGCAATCGATATATGGTGAACTTTATCGACCATAAATCGAACTATTGTCGAGTATTCCTTGCGCGCACGAAAGACGCGGCGGCGAAGCAGTTTGAAGCCTTCCTCGTCCACTTTGAGAAGCTCTTCGGCTTCAAGGTCCACGTTCTGCGGACGGACGGAGGAGGCGAGTATGCAAACGTCGACTTGTTCTGTAAACGCACGGGTGTCGCACGCCAAGTGTCGGAAGCTCGCAACCAGGCATCGAATGGCAAGGCAGAGAGGATGCACCGCACGGTGCTAAACCTCGCACGCAGCATGATGTTCGCGAGCGCGCTACCGTTGCAGTTCTGGGGCGACGCGGTGCAGTACGCCGTCCACATCTTGAACCGCAGCCCGACGCGAGCCAATGCAAAGAGAGCGTCGCCTATCGAGGTGCTGACGGGTAAGTCGCCGGATCTGCGCAGCATCGTCGTCTTTGGGTCGTCGTGTAGCGTCTACCGGGACCCGCGCAAGAGCTCGCTACAGCGGCGCTCTCAGACTGGCATCATCGTGGGCGTCAGCGAGGAGACAAAGGGGTACAAGGTTCTTCTCCAGCGAGAGAACAAGGTGGTTGTAACACAACATGTGAAGAATATCTCCACGCTCTCGGATGCGCAGAACGCACAACTGCAGCGTGCGCTGGAAGTTGGCGATCGAGCCGATGGAGAGGCTGTAGTGGCGACCCGTGATGACAATATACGAGCGCGAGATTATCGCGGTGCTCACGAGAAGAGTAAGAAGCCGTGGTCACGACAAGCGCACGGTACACGAAGCGCATCAAAGCGCAAGCAAGCAGTTACGCGCCAGGAGGAGAGATCTGCAAGCGACGAGGTGGTCAACGCAGCCTTCGAGCGCGACTTATGCAACTATGGCGAGGCCATGCGGAGCTCTAAGCGCGCGGAGTGGCAGACGGCGATGCAAGAAGAGATCGCCGCTCTGGAGAGCAACGATGTGTGGCGCGTGACGAAGCGTAGCCCGGGCGTGAACGCTCTTCACTCCAAGTGGGTCTTCAAGACCAAGACAGGGGCCGATGGAGAGCTCGAGCGATATAAGGCGAGGCTTGTCGCATGTGGCAATGAGCAAGTGCTCGGCGTCGATTACAACCTGACCTTTGCCGCAGTGATGGACATCTCGACGGCAACGGTAGTGCTGGCGCTCGCAGCAACCTGGGGCGTGCCGGCCAAGCATGGAGACATCCCGAACGCGTACGTGCGTGCCGAGAAGGAAGCACATCTCGACATCTGCTTGCAGGTGCCACGCGGTATGAATGTGTCAGAGAGCACTCTGCGCAATGTTGGCGCTATGCATCCAGGCGAGGTCGTCTTGGAGCTGCGGAGAAGCCTTTACGGGCTGAAGCAAGCCGGGCGCCTCTGGAGCCAGTTGCTCCATGCGCGACTCAGCGATGCGGGGTACGTGCGCTGCGTGTCAGACATGTGTCTGTACCACAAGCGCGACGGCGAAGAGCTGGTCGTAGTTGGCGTCTACGTCGATGATTTGCTGGCGACGGGAACGAGCGTCGCGGCAGTCGAGAGCTTCTTCGCGAGCCTGGCGTCGCTGTCAATCAAGGACCTCGGCCATGTCCACAAGTTCCTGGGAATGCGAGTGGAACTCGGGAGCGACGGCGCGTACCGCATCGACCAGGAGGAGGCCATCAAGGAGCTACTGCGTGCTCATGGGATGTGCGATGCGAATCCGACGAAGACGCCGATTGGAGGTGACTGCTACGAGGTCGTAGGCGACGACGCCGCGCTTCTTGGAACAACGAGCACGGGCGGTGGTGCAACCATCAACGCGTTCCAGCCCCGCGTCGGGAGCCTGCTGTGGGTCGCACGGTGCTCAAGGCCTGACATTGCCTTTGCAGTGCATAAAGCAACTAGGCAGACACATGCGCCGCGGGTACTCGACTGGAAGCTCGCCAAGCGTGTTGCTCGGTACCTAAAGGGGACAGCGATGCTCAAGCTCGAGATGGCGCCAGAGCGAACGAGCCGAGACGCGCTGCGTCTCGAAGCCTATAGCGATGCCGACTTCGCGGCTGACAAAGCGGACCGGAAGTCACTAACTGGAGGCGTCGTGCTTCTAAATGGGATGGCGGTGTCATGGACCGCGAAGAAACAGGGCGGAGTGAGTCTCTCGACGATGGAGGCCGAATTCGTCGCGGCGTCGGAGGTTGCGCGCGAGCTCATTGGCTTGCACCAGATGCTCGGAGAAGTGGGCATGGCGCCGGTTGTCCCTATGCTGATGCACGTGGACAACCAGGCAGCCATAAGTCAGATCGAAGGCGAAGCCTCGTCGATCAAGGCCAAGCACATCGACGTGCGGCACAAGTATCTGCGCGACCTCGCTCGTCGTGGGATCATCACGGCGCAGCACGTTCGATCCGAACTGATGATAGCGGATCTGATGACGAAGGCCGTCGATGCAAACAAGCTGGCGGCGCTGCGTAGCCTGATGCGGCTCGAGTAAGAGCGTGATGCGTATGAAGAGCTGGATGCGCGAGATGGCTGTGTCAGGGTATGGGTGTGGTGGAGGCACGCGTGAGGAGCTTCAGGATGAAGGAGATCGAGTATGGAGGAGATGAAGGACAAGGGCGTCTGCAACGTCCAAAAGGAATCGGAGAGGAAGAGAGAGGAAGAGAAGAGAGGAAGAGAGAAAAGAAGGAAGAGACGAAAACGAAAACGCACTCGAGGAGGAGTGTAGGAAAGCAAGGGATTTGTTACCTTGGTGGATTGGAGATTCGGCGCGATGTGTCGATTAGCGTCATTCGTTTAGATAGGAAGGCAGAGCGGCTGCGTAGCAAAATGGGTGGTTTGGATGGCTTTGGAAAAGTGTCAGGTAGAAGAGAAGACATAAAATGTGAATACAGAATCTAATCGTCTTTCTACTGCGCATACTACTTCCCACACGATCTTCTGGAGGAGTTCCGGACACGGACGAGCGACCAACAACTGTTTCAGATGCAGAAAGAGAGCGCGTGAGACGTTGTGTAACGGGGTTGCACGTAAAAGGGTACTTTGTATACCAAGTGTGTCACACACCTGATGGTACCCCTAGGAAGGTGATATAGAATATATTATCGGTTTGTAGGGGCCGACGAGTGTCATCCATTAGGTACGAAAGATCTTTGAGTAGGATTAAGATATTTTACAAGTTTTAACATTAAATAAAATCAGTTCCCATTTTGATCCAAAGGACACGTGGCTTGCGAGCCGTCTTAATCGTTGATCACTGATCACTAAGAGTTAGCAACACCTCCTTGAGGTAGCTACTCTTGAGCACTGAGTGCTGTCGATTCACTGAATCGTTAGGTTACCTGCAACAGGGACCTGAAGCTGTAAAGCTTGTTGACTCGTAAAATCGTTAGTTCTTTAGAACTAAGTTGCTCGTAGAACGTTAAGTCTTCCTCTGACTTAAGGAGCTGTGTAGCTCCGCTGCACTTGGTAGCACTTGTAGTCAATCTACGCCTGAGTCTGTTTAGACTGATCCTCTGTGAGGATGGAAAACCCCACTCCCCTCGCTGAGGCCCAAAGGGTCACGCTTGATAAGCTGACCGCATCTTTGGGTCTAGAGTACGTGGAGTTCCATACCTCACAAGACCCTGTAGTGCTAAATGCACGTGTTGAAAAATCCATGCAGTATGAAGCGACCCTTTTAGAGCAGGTCCAAGACCAAGCAGCGTCGGCTATGCCTACACGCTATGTGTCTGTACCAGACAAAGAGGCTAGTCCTCGTCCCCTTAGAGTGGAAGTGAAAAACTACTCCGGTACGGAGGGTGAGAACCTCATCCTCTGGATACGTGAGACTGAGATGGCCATGAGACCAGGCTTGATCACGATTGACCATCAACAGGTCTCGCTGGCTATCTCGAAGCTCGATGGTAGAGCTAGAGAATTGGCCTTGACGTGTAGCACGTCGGTTGACTTAGCATTTTTCATATGAGAGTCGCTTAAGTCACAATTGGTACAGGTGTTCTCACCACCTAACCAGGCTTACCGCGTGCGTTCACGCTTTCTTTCTACCCGCCAGGTTAAGAAGGAATTATCGGACTATGTCCAAGAGCTGCGACCGCTCATGGCTGCAAAGCAGTCTGACCCTCTGCCTGAAGCAGTCCATGTGACTATTTTCATGGAAGGTCTACGTACTGGCATTGCCAGAACCGAGGTTTTTCGGGCTCACCCCTCTACGTTTAGAGAGGCTGTGAGAATTGCTCTTAATGCTGAGCATAACTTTAAGTCGGCCAGACTTGGTTGGAATGGATTCAATCCTCGCTCTGTAAGAGTAAATATTCGCGTACCACTGCCCATAATATGCCGGAACCGATGGATCTCAGCTATGCTGAAGATGAAGGTGAAGCTGAGCTTCAAGCTGCTGAGCAGCAATACGTCGTACGCCGATGTCTTACGTGCGGAAGCACTAAACACTTGCGGCCTGGTTGCTCTTTGCGTAAGCAACGCCAGGCTACAAGCCAACACTCGACCCCGAGTCAGAAGTCTGGCATGGCACGGGTAAATGCCGACACCAAGTAGGCGCGGGGCGCCCTACTGGGGAAGAACTAGGTTCTGTCACACCTTTGATGGGTAAAGGAAGGCAGGGCTTAGCCCCAAAGAGTACCATACCTACGGGTATGGTGCGTGGATACAAGTCTGGCTTGTTGGTCGCCGAGGCGAAAATTAAGGGCTTTGAGAAGCCTTGGTCGATATTGATCGATTCTGGAGCGTCTTGCAATTATGCTCGACGCCGTTCCCTTGAGGAAAGTCAGAGTTATGCTGAGGCGCTTACAGCGCATGAGGGTGATTCTATCACGGTTCGTTTAGCGACTGGAAGTCGCGTAACGGTGCCTAAAGTTCCATTGAACTTAGGTATAAAGTTCTTAGACTTTGACAGTATCGAGCGCTGTCTTGTCCTAGATTTGGGCTCGAGATATGATCTCATCCTAGGTATGGCTTTGCTTGTACGCCATGAGCAATGGATTGATTGGAGGTCCAAGACCTTAGACGTTACGCGCAACGTTCCTAGCGAAGTTTTGAAGAGTCATGAACCCATCTTCGCTAGGCAACAGAAGCGCTATTGGCGCGAGCCTTTGACAGAAGATTTCAATGTGCTGGATATTGGAATGTTTGAGTTATCTAACTCCATTGTTACAAACATACGTTTCGAGCCTAGCTCGTCTAAAACTAGTGAAACGGCACGTACTCCATTGAGTGTTACTCGTTGTGATAACGAGTCTCTGCATGCTGAAATCATGGTTGGCCTAGGGCCGAGTGATCAAGGATGTGATTCCTTTGATGTGTGTATGGTGGCACGTGAAACTACACCGAGTGCGGTCGGCCGTGAGAGCACCGCACTGAATGTCGCTAATGACATTGTTGGTCATATGCCATATAGTGTGGGCGGCCGTGAAGGCACCACGCTTAACGTCGGTAATGGCGTTGTTGGCGATTCGCCATATAGTGTGGGCGGCCGTGAGGGCACCACACCTAATGTCAGTAATGATATTGTTGGCGATACGCCGTATAGTGTGGACGGCCGTGAGGGCACCACACCTAATATCAGTAATGATATTGTTGGCGAGACGCCTTAATTTTGGAGCTAGGCCCGCATAATACACGTGGAGTGGCACGTTTCAATCCACTGGGTGAACTGTTCGAGTTATGTAACACTTCACCAGATGTCGGTCAAGACAAAAGATCTCGTATAGAGCGTACTATGGCTAGTAGTAACCATGATGACAATATTGTCTCGACCCCTAAGGGGTGTAAGGTCTCGAAGAGACGGTCGAGACGCTGGGTAGCAATTTTTAAGCGCCAGGCGTCCTCACAGTCACATAGTAATAATAGTAATACACTGTGTACACTTGTTAATGGAGTGACTGGTCAGGTTGATGGCAGTGTTTGCCTTAAAACCCTTCCATCTGTAGACGCTCTTTGTGAACTAGACGAAATATCTGATAGTGAGTTTAGCCAGGCCTTAAAGGCAGGAAATTTATCTGAATCAGTGGTCATCAGACCCACCGTCGAGTTGAACTTGTCCTCATTAATGGTTGAGTCGGTCCTAGAGAACAGCAAGGCGGCACTCAGTGCCCGGAGTAGATCTTCGATCTTAAAAGATCCTGAAGACCCCTTTTTTCCTTTAGTAAAGTAGTTTTGAGATGTAATGTGTCACAGCCCACCTTCTACCTTACCTCCCGATAGAGGTGTACGTCATGAAATTGACTTGGTTCCTGAAAATAAATACTGCGTAACACGGCAGTGGCCTTTGCCTAAAGAACATGTGACGTCATTGACGATATCTTTCATGCTAAGCACGCGGCTGGAATGGTTCATGAGAGTAAATCTCCCCATTCAACACCGACATTTTGTGTCAAAAAGCCAAATGGCAAGTGGCTTATTGTACATGCTTATAATAAGCTTAATGCAGCCACTATACCGGTGCAGACGCCTATTCCTGCAAAGGATGTGTTCAGAACAATATGGCAGGATGTACATTGTACAGTGCACTCGACTTAGTCGATGGTTATTACCAACTGCTTATGCGAGCAAGTGATATGCCGCTAACAGCGGTGAGTAATCCGAGCGGTATGCTCTGGGAGTGGCTTGTTATGCCACAAGGGCTATCTAACGCCCCGGCTACGTCTAACCGGCTGGTAACGCAACTATTCAGACCTCATCGAGGCTATGCACAAACGTACTTTGATGACATTTTGTCCATAGTCGTGCAAAAAATGGGCGATCAGATGGGGATAACCACATTGATCATTTACGAGCGGTGCTCGAGTGTATGCGAACGAATAAGTTAAATGCTAACGCATCGAAGTGCATCTTTGGTGCAGAAGAAATTCCCTTTCTAGGGTGCTTCATTGGAAAGAGAGGCATTCGAGCGTATCCCGCTAAGGTAAAAGCCATAGTCGATTGGCCGGTTCCCAAGAACTAAAAGGACTTGAGTAAGTGGCTTGGCCTTGTCAATTACTTACATAAGTACAGTGCGAATTACGCAAATATAGCTCGGCCATTGTTTGATTTCCTTAAAACGGATGTGGATTGGTGTTGGAATAATACTGAATATGATGCTTTTGAAGCAGTTAAGGAGAGTCTCCTTCGTGCACCAATATTGACTTTGCCCGATTCTGATCGGCCTTTCAGTGTCGTCTGTGATGCATCTGACTTCGCCATAGGCAGTGCTCTGTTACAAACAGATGTCGATGGACGCGAACGCATCATCGCATTCGAGTCTCGGCAGCTGAAAACTGATGAAAAGAACTATCCAGTTCATTACAAAGAGCTACTAGCTATGAAGTACTCTCTTGTTATATTCAGAGTACATCTGCTTGGCTCCAAGCCGTTTGTGATCTACGCAGATCATGCGTCATTGCGCACTGCGACACAGTCGCCTCATCTCTCACAGAGAATGGCTCGTTGGCTTTCCTTCTTTGCCGAATATAACTTCGAGGTGAAGTACAAGCCAGGTGAGCAAAATGCTTTGGCTGATGCGCTATCGCGTCGACCTGAATATGAGCTTGCTCATGTTATGACTCTTTCGTCGTCAGTCCCTGACTTAATCCGTGCGGCATATGCCAAGGATGATCAGTGTGTAGCTTTGCTACGTTTTCTTGGGAGCAATGAGTTTAAAGACTCGGACATCGAGTTGTCGGCACGTTTAAGTGCGAGGCTACATCGATATTCCATCGATAGTGGCCTGTTGTGCTATCGCACGGATATTGAGGATAAACCTCTTATCGATGTACCTCATGATGAGGAATTAAAGTATCGAATCCTCTATGAGGCACATGATACTGCTTTAAGTGGTCATCTCGGTCGTAAGAAAAATTATAGCTTGGTGAGCCAAAGTTATTGGTGGCCCAAAATTAATAAGTGGGTGAGCAACTATGTGCGTGCGTACAAAACGTGTCAAAGGGTCAAACCCTCAGCATATGCGGCGGCGCCGCTGGCTAGTTTGCCAGTAACCACTGGTTGTTGGGAGTCCATGAGCATGGATTTTGTGTTTGGCCTAATAAAGGGTTTGGAAGGCAACACTGGTATTGTGGTCTGTGTTGACCGATTAAGCAAGATGGCTCACTTAGCGGCTGTGCCGGACAGCATCGATGCTGAAGTTACAGCAAAGCTGTTTATCGACCGTGTGTTTCGCCAACATGGCTTGCCTGTGGCAATTATCTCTGATAGAGACCCCCGCTTCTCTAGGAAGTTTTGGAAGTCTATCTTCAAGGTGCTTGGCACTCAGTTGTACATGTCCACAGCGGATCATCCGCAGACCGACGGTCAAACTGAGCGTGTAAACCGCGTCATCAATGACATTTTGCGCAGTGTTTGCGCTCAAACGCCACGGCATTGGAGATCAATGCTCCCTGCTGTTGAGTTTACGTTGAATAACGCTGTTCATGCCTCAACAGGCTTTACTCCGTTCTATATAAACGGTCTCACTCACCCTCGCGTTCCGTTAACGCTATCACTACGTGATTCAGGGATTGGTGGGGGAGAGGTTGCCGATCAGCTTGCTGACATCAGCCCTGCTACTGTTCAAAAACAGGTAAGCGCGTTTCTTGCAACGTGATTACTGGTCTTAAGACATGTGCGTGACGCAATGGCTGATAGACAAGATCAACAAAAGCGCCAAGCTGATGCCAAAGGCAGAAATTGTGTTAGAGTTTATAAGGTCGGAGACCAAGTGTTACTCAATGCTAAAAATCCACCTACAAATGTAGTGTCTGCTGTCATTAAGACTAAGTTGCGTCCACGCTTTATTGAACCGTTTACGGTCACTGCCAAGAAGGGACTTGCGTACACGCTAAACCTTCCACGCAAATTGCGCACACATCCAGTGTTCTACGTAGGCTTACTTAAGCCGTACCGGGAGACTTCCCATGTTAACATGTAGGCGCTTGCGCCGACGACAAGGGCATTGCCCCGGATTGCTGTAGACGAATCAGCAGGTCCAACTGAGCCTCGCTCCGAGTTTGAGATTGCTACATCGCTTGAAGGCGGCTCCGCATCGCATCCAGCATGCACTGGGTTTTATCCAAGGTCTCTACAAGACCCTTCAATTCGCGAATTAATTACTCGTGAGCCTCCACCGGTACATTGGCCTCCACCGACTTTGCTTCATGAGCATGGGTGTCCTCAGTATCTTGTCGAGAGGCTGCTGAAACGACGTCGTCGTCAGGGCCAATACCAGTATCTGGTAAAGTGGCGTGGGTATCCTGAGTCTGAAAACTCATGGGAATACGAGGTACCCCAAAGGCAAGACTGCCCGCTGTGGATGCTTTTGAGCATCGTGGTCATGGTCATCTCGAGACCGAGGCCGTTTCTCACCACTATTAGTGTGGGTTGGCGGGTCGGTGGTCATCGTCTTACCAACACTCGCAGCTACCGGAGAAGCCACAGCATATAGCGTGGGATTATACAATTGGCCCCTGGCCTTAATCTTGGCATATTCATACCGAAGCTTGCTTCCAAGACGCACATCGGCCACATTGGCAATAGCTCTAAGAGTATACATACTTCTGGGGCGACGTATACGGTGCACTCAGCGGACGAAGGCATTGACTTCTTCTATCTGTGTTTCGCCTGCAAAAAAGAGAATGGGTCACCCTTGATCGTCGGGACCGGTGCACTACTTGCTTGCATGTCAAGGCGTGCCTTGTATCAAATCGGAGTCGTTAGGTGAGGCTCCATGTACCTCTAGCGAAGTGCCTGGCCGCTCTCCACCTCCTCCGGAGTCTTAGGCCCATGGCAAATGACCCACGTCGCCAATGTTTGGCCGGCCGCTTGACATAGACGTTCCTCCACACTGGGTGGAGTGAACACATAGTCACGCTGGCGCGCAAGGGTTGCAACCATTTGTGCATAACGCTGAGCGTTTTCTTCTTTTTTGGACGAGCAATTGTTGTTGCTCATCAAACGGGTTTGAGATGATAGTTTCATCAGAACCAGGTGTTAACTGCTGCACCAGTGGCGCGCTCGCATCTCCGCGTTCAAATAACGGACTTAAGGTATTCGAAGGTTGTGCCTCAGGCATCGGTGAGTCGGACATTGTCCCTGTATCACCCTGGACACTGGTATCGCTACCATAGTCCACTGCCTCCTCAATTCCGAGGTAGTCAAACAGAGTCTTTGAATCGTCTGGTGATGAGGACATCGTGCTAGAGCGCACGTTGCCATGAGGTTTACCGTACGCGCACTGTTCTCGCTTAGGAACACAAGTTCGATTGACATTTTCGTGAACGTCAGTCTGGTGGGGGAGGGTGTAACGGGGTTGCACGTAAAATGGTACTTTGTATACCAGGTGTGTTACACACCTGATGGCACCCCTTTGTGAAGGTGATATAGAATATATTATCGGTTTGCAGGGGCCGACGAGTGTCATCCATTAGGTACGAAAGATCTTTGAGTAGGATTAAGATATTTTACAAGTTTTAACATTAAATAAAATCAGTTCCCATTTTGATCCAAAGGACACGTGGCTTGCGAGCCGTCTTAATCGTTGATTACTGATCACTAAGAGTTAGCAACACCTCCTTGAGGTAGCTACTCTTGAGCACTGAGTGCTGCCGATTCACTGAATCGTTAGGTTACCTGCAACAGGGACCTGAAGCTGTAAAGCTTGTTGACTCGTAGAGTCGTTAGTTCTTTAAAAACTAAGTACTCGTAGAGCTTTAAGTCTTCCTCTGACTTAAGGAGCTGTGTAGCTCCGCTGCACTTGGTAGCACGATACTTGTGTGGTGATAAGCTGTGTGAGTGGTTCATCTATCGCTCGAGCAGTGGACACTGCATTTGATGCCAGGACTAATTAGTTGTAGGTCATTGTCTGGATGGCGTCGACGAGACTTGGCCTGAAAGGAGGAGACACATGCTTCTTGTCAATCGGACAGGAAAAATCGACGGAATCTGGAAAATTTGTCAAGCTCGATGAAACCGGAGGAGGAAATTGGTGGAGAGACTCGAGCAAATCCGCGCACATGCATTCAGGACGACGACAATGACGAAGTAGCTGGTGTGAGTAGTATACTGCCAAAAATTGAGCCAAGACAGGTGGTGTGCAAACATGTAGGAAGCTCTACGATCAGAAGAGAATGGGTTAGAACAAGATGCCATTGAAGCGGAAGCGAAAAGAGTCCAGACTAGTCGAATCTTGACGGGGGTCCTATTCACCACTTCATTACGGTCGAGGGATGTCTTAGACTACATCGTTCAGCCTGGGACCTATAGCACTGCATATTGTGTCTGCTACGTGCACTGGACTTTCATTAGCGCATATGACTCTATGGCGTGGTAATGCGAGCAGCGAAAGCCTCATGTGCGTGCACGAATGTCTTCTGTAGCACCGGATAGGACTTCAAATGATTCCGTTTACGTTGAGCGCATGTAATCGCAAGCTGATGAACCTGCTAGACGGCTAGTTTTTTTGCTACATATTACAACAGCGCCCTGAGGCAAAAAAATTTGGGTGGAAGGGTGTCTAATGAAGTGGGTTTGTTTACTTAGGTTTTTGTACATGATTTTGTAAAATCGGGATGATAACGCAAGTGTGCAGATACTTATGGCTGTATAATTGGATCTATAAACGAGTCACTCGTTCTTGGTACAAGTAATGCACAGCCGATTGCGAATTCGCTGGCATCACAGACCACATGAAATTGCCTGTCCTGATCGGCTATTGCTAGGACTGGGGATTGTTTCAAGCTCTGCTTGATACCATCAAAGGAGCGCTGACATTCAGCGTTCCATGACCACCTCTCGTTCTTTTTCAACAAACGAGGGAGGTGTACAGTCATCTCGGCGTAATTGCGTGAGTACTTGTGCAAATACGCCGCTAGTCCAAGGAATTTTCGAAGACCTTTTACATCAACTGGCACAGGCAAGTCGGTGATTGCCTTGATCTTTTTGGGATCAGGACGTACACCGTTCTTACCAACGATGCACCCAAGAAGTGGTATTTCGCTTGCTGCAAATATACACTTCTTGAGGTTTGCATACAATTGATGCTTTCGCATGATTGTAAGAACCTGTCGGACGTGGTACCTGCGAACCTCAACGTACGACTTTCCATCCATAGCCCGACTATGGATGAATACGTCATTGAAATAACTCGGCGCGAATTCGCGTACTGGTCTCAACAGATGTGATACACATCTGTTGAACGTGGCAGGGGCGTTACTAAGCCATTGTGGCATTACTAGCCATTCCCAGAGCATGCCGCTAGGCGTGCTCACTGCGGTATAGGGTATATCCCGTTCTCGCATAAGGATTTGATAGAAGCCATCCATCAAATCCATGGACGAAAAGATGGTACTCTTTGACATACCATCAATGATTACGTCCTTCCTTGGTATCGGCGTCTGAGCCGGTACCGTTGCAGCATTCAACTTGTTAAATGCATGCACTATCCTCCACCGTCCTGTTGCTTGTCGCACACAGAAGGTCGGAGAGATATGTGGGGAAGTTGATTCCCTCACATGGCCCACAGCTAAACGATCGGCAAAGAACTTGTCGATCGCAAGTACTTGTTCACGAGGCAGTGGCCACTGCTTCATGACACAGTACTTCGAGCCTGGTTTAAGCTCGACCTCGTGTCGAATACCTTTATCCTTCGGTAACTCGCACGGAACAGTTTCAGGGAATACATCCTTGAATTCAACCAAATCCTTATAGAGAGGATTTGTCTTGAGCGATTCCCACGATTGGGAGTCATATCGCTCAACTCGTGTCTTTTCATCTAGGACACTCTCGTCCATCGATGAACTACTGAGAACTCTCTCGTTCTCAGTAAACATTGTTGCTGACCTTATGTCGGTTACACACTCGTCGTCAGCGACGAGTATGCAGATCTGCTTGACTTTGCCACTACGCAGATCACGCAAGAACCTTTTGTGTTCGAGCGTTGGCAACTGAGTGATCTCCGAAGTCAACTTCGGAGGCGCAATCAGATCAAGTGTATAAGCGCCTACAGTTGATCCGTTATTGACTATGACATTCAATGTCTCTGTCATTTCCTGGGGACTTATTCCCTCAGGCTTCGAAGGTCTTATTCCTTCGGCTTCCCGGGGACTTATTCCCGCGGGTTTCGGGGAACTTATTTCCGCCGTATTTGTAATCTTGGGACTTATTCCCTTAACTTCTACTAGCTGTGGTTGCGCAACCACAGCGAGATCCTCTACGAAAGACTCTCCAGTCGATCTAGCATTATCGTTTCGCTTAACCTAAGCGATCGATTGTTTCTCTTCTAGATGTTCCCCACTAGGGATACATCTTTGTCCCAGTCCACTCGACTTATTCGAGTGGTGGACCCTCGGCGCAGCCTGTGTTTCCTCACAGCCGCCGGAACTTTGCTCCGAAGTGTAATCGTTTGTTACACTAAGGTTTTGTGCAGTCGTACTAACGACCGTACCACAAGTGAGGCCATCGCACTCACTCGTAGTACATCCACACGCTTGTGGACGCTCCAAAACGTTCATCAGATGGCCATCTGATGAACAAGCGGCAGGCATCGTTACTGTTCGATGTTGCCAGTTAACTCGTGGTTCGTACCTTCTGAGCCACGGTATTCCAAGGATGACACCAAATTTGTCATCCAAATCCAATACGATGAAGTCATCGTCATATTGGGTATCTTCTAGCGTATAGTGGATCTTCACTATACGCTTCATGACGGTTACGGATGCGCCTGTCGCAAGACGTACCGTCATCCTCGTAGTAGGTGTGTCACACTCAACAAACTTGAAGTGACCATCTTCTAGCGATTGGCGTCGCACAAAATTGTTAGACGCCCCACAATCGACTAGAGCTCGAAGGGACAGCTTATTCGTCACTTCGAGTTTCAAGGTAATGAGTGAGATCTCATTACCTAGAGCAGCAACGCACAACGTTTGTGTGTTGGGAGCAACCTTCATCAAGAGGCCTACAAATTCTCTTGACGTTGCTGGACCAGTAGGGTGCTCCGCACCTACTGATCCCGTCCATTTTTTGACGGTCCATCCCGTTGTTGCGTCTTTGCACCAACGGCGGACCCGCGTCCCTTCCCTTTTCTCATGGTGGACGGTCATTACGCCCAGTGTTGCGAGACACTGGACGAGGGGTACTACCCTCGTAAGCGTAGTGTCCTGTCTTTTGACATCTGTTGCATTTCTGCAATTTCTTGTAGTCAGTAGAGCGAGCCTTCTCGCTCTCTACATAACAGAGTTCCATCGGCTCTGGACCTCCGCTGTCATATCGTCTCGGTTGACGATATGATATCGAGCTGGCGCGAGCCTGTCTCAGACTGAAGTCTTCCTGTTCCGTAATGGAAATGGCTTGTTCTAGTGAATCTAGTTCAAGCCGGAACAGGTGAGTCTTGACGGGACCATCCGCAAGACCCTGCATGAACACCGAAACCAACGTGTGTTCATCCACCGGATTGGAACTTATACAACTCGTGAGATGTCGTATATGTTGCGCGTAAGCGTGCACATCACGCATATCTTGCTTGAGCTTGAAGAGTTCAGTTTGAGCTCTGAACTCAGCTCTAGGCGGTTCAAACGTTTGTCTGAGCCGCGCCTTGAAGACTTCTAACGACCCAAACGCATATGGGTCTGCAACTTGAGCCCCAGTGCCCAAGTCTTGGCACGTCCTGCCAGATTGGACTGGGCAAATGCAACTTGCATTTCCCCATCGTCGATGCGACGCGCCCTTATGGCGTCGTCTAATTCGACAAACCATCTCAAGAGGGAGTCTTCTTCGACTCCCCTATACTTGGAGATGTCAATCTTCAAGGTCTCGGGTCGACGCGAGTGCATCGACCCACCAGCAGCAGCCTGCTGCTGTCTCAACAGTTCAAACTGTTGAGCACCCTGTTCTCTCAACAACTCTGATTGTTGAGAACCTTGTTGGTGAAGCAAGGCTACTTTCTCGCGTTCAGCGTCAAGTTCATTTTGAATGAACTTGGCGATAGTAGCATGTTGGGCATCTCTATTGAGAGCCTCCAGCATGACGCTAACAGCATGGATGCCCATGGTTGAACCCATCCGTTAAACCGCATCCCATTCGACATTGCTCAAATGGGAGTAGCCGTCACGCGTAGCGTGAAAGCTTTGGTCATCTTCATTATCTAACATATTCATGTTAGATGTGAACGTGGTCCTTGGACGGACTACGAAGTGCTACCAGGTGTAACGGGGCACCCTGAAGCTTGTAATGGTGACAGTACAAGCTACTTATTCTGATGACAGAATAAGGCGGTGCCTCGTAACTTCACGTACACTCGTACGTGCAGAGGAAGACGGTAAGAAGAAGCGAGTACTTGTTTAAAGTAAAAAGTAGAACTGTATTTATAATAGTTAATGTCTGCAAAAAATCACTATTTATCTTCATCTAACTATGTATAAATACAAATGTGTAAATCAACTATCTGCTCACCACTCATTGCGTGCGTCTGTCGTGGCGTGTCTTCGTTGGTTGATATAATGGCCTATATCAACCAATTAGGAATTACTCGTAAGTGCCACAGAATATTTGTCCTTATGACAATATTCTGAGAATATAACTCTTATAGTTATATTCTATTAACTATTTCTTATAAATTGTTATGTAACGATTCACCCCGTTACAGCACCTGAATTTTTCTAAGAAGTCTTGATGTACACGGTTGGACAAGCCCTACTCTTCTGGAAGGAATTTTTCAAAGACTATGCAAGCTTGGAATAGTGGCTCAATGTGTCCTAGACCTTCCAGCTTAGTCTGCAGTCTTTTATCGCTGCAACAGAATTTGGAATAAATTTGGCATTTTTGCCTCTTGCTTTCATGACGCTGGAGTCGTCTGGATTCCGTCTTTGTTGAAATGTTTATGTTTGTTTACATAATTAGAATACTTTCGCATGGAGCACGGAGGAACTTAGTCCCACTGCAGATGCTAAATCTACTCTTCAAAGTAATCACAAAAGAGCACAGACTCTAATAAAGAAGAAGATGGTTATTTCTTTGCAACATTCTCAGAGCATGACTAGCTATTATGCAAGTGAGAGATAAAAGAAGAAGATGAGGTAGACTGTTTACTCTTATTTTTGCATGGAACTATTTCACTTCTTTTTTATATTACATGCTTATAAAACAATAGGTCCAGCTTAATAAAGAATAAGCAATGATGTAGCACATCAATATATAAAGACACTAAGAAAGAGCGGCCTTAGATGATCTAATACTTTCTTATAAGGTTCATCATTAAATTAAGACAATGATTCATAAAAAATCAAGGTATCATTTCCAAAAGTTAAGAAGGTCATCAACAAGAAGTATGATGATGACGATGGTAGAATAATTTAGAAGGTCTTTGGATTCGATCCTTTATTCATGGAAGTAAATTGCCATTTTTTCGATTATGATGAGTGTGTCCTGATACATATGCAAATAAACGAAAAGAAGAATAAAAACAGAGAAGTATTAGAGCACGTTTCATACTTAGTAGATACGGGAAGTAACGAAATTCGAGTAGATAACCCCATAAAATATCCTTCTCATCTTCAGGATCATTATCACACCTTATCGTCTTCAAACATTATAATGACGTCGCAATAAACATGAAGGGGAGGACAAAAAAAGGAAGGTATATTCACTTTTATAAAAGAAGTAGGTACTGTAGCGGAGCTACACAGCTCCTCAAGTCAGAGGAAGACTTAACGCTCTACGAGCAACTTAGTTCCAAAGAACTAACGACTTTACGAGTCAACAAGCTTTACAGCTTCAGATCCCTGTTCGAGGGGACCTAACGATTCAGTGAATCGACAGCACCTAGTGCTCAAGAGTAGCTACCACAAGGAGGTGTTGTTAACTCTTAGTGATCAGTGATCAACGATCAAGACGGCTCGCAAGCCACGTGTCCTTTGGATCAAAATGGAAACTGATTTTATTTTTGTTAAAGCCTATAGAATATCTTAATCCTACTCAAAGATCTTTCGTACCTAATGGCTGACACTCGTCAGCCCCTACAAACCAATAAGATATTCTATATCACCTTCACAAAGGGGTGCCATCAGGTGTGTAACACCTCTGGTACAAAGTACCACGATTTCGTGCAACCCCGTTACACCCTCCCCCACCAGACTGACGTTTGCCAAAACGTCAATCGAACTTGTGTTCTCAGCGAGAACAGTGCGCGTACGGTGAACCTCACGGTAACGTACGCTCTAGCACGATGTCCTCATCACCAAACGAGTCAAAGGCTCTGTGTGACTACCTCGGAATGGAGGAGGAGGTGGACTATGGTAGCGATACCAGTGTCCGCGGTGATACAGGGACAATGTACGGCTCACTGATGCCTGAGGCACAACCTTCGAACACCCCAAATCCGTTCGCTGAACGTGGAGATGCGAGCGCGCCACCAGCGCAGCATGCAGCATCTGGGTCTGATGAAACTATCATCACGAACCCGCTCGATGAGCGACAACAATTGCTCGTCCAAAGAGAAGAAAACGCTCAGCGTTATGTACAAATGGCTGCAACCCTTAAGCGTGAGCGTGACTATGGGTTCACCCCACCCAGTGTGGAGGAACGTCTACGTCAAGCGGCCGGCCAAACATTGGCAACGTGGGTCATTGGCCATGGGCCTAAGACTCCTGAGGAAGTGGTGAGCTGCCACGCACTTTGTGAGAGGTACCTGGAGCCGCACCTAACGACTCAAAGTCAATACAAGGCACGCCTTGACATGCAAGCGCGTAATACACCGGTTCCACCGATCAAGAGTATACCCATTCTCTTGTTCGCAGGCGAAACAGTGAGCGAAGAAGACGATGCCTTTGTTCACTGGGTGCACTATGTGCGTCGCCTCAGCAACATTTTTGCTCTAAGGGCTAGTGCCCATGCGGCGGATGAGCGTCTCGAACGCAAGCTTCGGTGTGATTATGCCAAGCTTGAGGCCAGAGGCCAATTACGCAAGCGCACGCGCTGTGCTTCGGCTACTAAGGTAGCCGCGAGTGCTGGTCAATCTGTGACCAACAACCCGCCAACCCGCACCACTAGTGGTGGGGAACGGCCTCGATCTCGAGATAACCATGGCCACGATGCTCAAAAGCATCCAAAGCATATGGGCAGTCTTGCCGAAGGGGTACCTCAAATTCCCATGAGTTTCCAGACTCAGGGTACCCACGCCACTTTACCAGATACTGGTATTGGCCCTGACGACGACGTCATTTCAGTAGTCTCTCGACGTAAATTGACGACACCCATGATCATCGAGCAAAGTCGGTGGCGGCCGGTGTACCGGAGGAGGCCCACAAGAAGGTGGTTCTCGAAGTGAAGGGTCTTCAAGAGGCCTTGGGTAAGTCCCAGTGCATGCTGGATGCGATGCAAAGCCGCCGTCAGGCGATGGACCGAGCTCAAACTCGGAGCGAGACTCAGTTGGACTTGCTGATTCGCCTACAGCAATCCGGGGCAGTGCCCTTGTCGTCGGCGCAAGCGCCTCCAAGTTCACATGGGAAGGATCCCGGTACGGCTTAAGTAAGCCTACGTAGAACACTGGATGTGTGTGCAATTTGCGCGGAAGGTTTAGCGTATGCGCAAGTCCCTTCTTGGCCGTGACCGAAAACGGTCCAATAAAGCGTGGACGCAACTTTTTCTTAAAGACAGCAGACACTACATTTGTAGGTGGATTTTTAGCATTGAGTAGTACTTGATCTCCGACCTCATAACGTTCAATAAAATTTCTGCCTTTGGCATCAGCTTGTTGTTTTTGGGTATCTTGGCTATCAGCCATTGCGTCACGCGCATGTCTTAAGACATTTAATCGCGTTGCAATAAACTCGCCTACCTGTTTTTGAACAGTAGCAGGGCTGATATCAGCAAGCCGATCGGCAACCTCTCCCCCACCAAGCCCTGAATCACGTAGTGATAGCGCTAACGGAACGCTAGAATGAGTGAGACCGTTTATATAGAGCGGAGTAAAGCCTGTTGAGGCATGAACAGCGTTATTCAGCGCAAACTCAACAACATGGAGCATTGAGATCCAACGCCTAGGCGTATCAGCGCAAATACTGCGCAAAATGTCATTGATGACGCGGTTAATACGCTCAGTTTGACCGTCGGTATGCGGATGATCCGCTGTGGACATGTCCAACCGAGTGCCAAGCACCTTGAAGATAGACTTCCAAAACTTCCCAGTGAAGCGGGGGTCTCTATCAGAGATAATTGCCACAGGCAAGCCATGTTGGCGAAAGACACGGTCGATAAACAGCTTTGCTGTACCTTCAGCATCAATGCTATCCGGCACAGCCGCTAAGTGAGCCATCTTGCTCAATCGGTCAACAAAGACCACAATACCAGTGTTGCCTTCCGAATCTTTCGGTAGGCCAGACACAAAATCCATGCTCATGGACTCCCAACAACCAGTGGGTACTGGCAAACTAGCCAGCGGCGCCGCCGCATGTGCCGAGGGTTTGACCCGTTGACACGTTTCGCACGTACGCACATAGGTGCGCACCCACTTATAAAGTTTGGGCCACCAATAAGTTTGGCTCACCGATCTATAAGTCATCTCACGACCGAGATGACCACTTAAAGCAGTATCATGTGCCTCATAGAGGATTCAATACTTTAATTCCTCATCATGAATCACAGCGATACGAGGGTTTCCCTCAATATCCGTGCGATAGCACAACAGGCCATTATCGATGGAATATCGATGTAGCCTCGCACGTAGACGTGCCGACAATTCTATGTCCGAGTCCTTAAAATCATCTCTCCCAAGAGAACGTAGCAAAGCTACACACTGATCATCCTTGGCATATGCCGCACGGATTAAGTCAGTGACTGACGACGACGGAGTCGTAACATGAGCAAGCTCATAGTCAGGTCGACGCGATAGCGCATCAGCCAAAGCAATTTGCTTCCTGGCTTGTACTTCACCTCAAAGTTATATTCGGCAAAGAAGGAAAGCCAACGAGCCATTCCCTGTAAGAGATAAGGCGACTGTGTCGCAGTGCGTAATGACGCATGATCTGTATAGATCATAAACGGCTTGGAGCCA